AATGAGCATCTACTATAATTTGAACATTTATGCTATAAAACCCCTTTCGATTTAAATACGGTGCTGCTGGATGGACAGGATGATTAACTTGAGGGGTAACAATTGCAACGTGCGTGCCATCATTTGCACCTACAGCATCTAAAATCAGGAAGAAATTGTTTTAAGTTGATGGTATAATATTTGTTTTTGAATCAGACCCTTACGAGGAAACTGGTATTTAAAAAAAAAAAATTGCTTCTTGTAATTTATTTCTTGTACGATAACAGGAAACTTTATTCAGGTATTTAAAAGATGTTCATTTATGATATTTATTACTTGCAACAAACAGCGACTTACGGACGGTTGACTAATACTAAAATTTCCTCCATAACCAATATCTAACTACCATGACCATAGAAATGAAGAGAGCATAGAACTTTAAGATAATTTGGGATACCTGTCTGTCGCAAGACATTATTCATATGGGGTGCTAGTGTGTTTGTAAGATATCTTGGTGCGTCTTTACTTAATCTGAAAAGTTTTAGAAAAGAAAAATTTGGAAGGTCGAAAGGATTCGCACCATCTCGTAAGCAACGCCTAGCAAGACGAAATTGTCGTCTAAAATGATTTTCGTAGTTTAAGTAAAAGTATAGTATTAGATATGGTACCTTTGTCTTCTTTCTTCGTTTTGTATTAACAACAACCCTGGTACTGCAGCCATTTTTAAAACTTGACATGACAGTTATATTATGAAGGCATGTCATAACTTCCCTTTAAATTATAACGTTAACAGGAAATTTTAACAGGGGTTACGTTAAAATTTAACAAGATTTGCATTTACAGAATACGATTGCTATTATTAAAGGGGTGTTATCTTTTAACAGACTGTTATAAAATAACATAAAAGTTACAGAATAGGCCTCAATAATAGATAAATTTTTCAGAGATAATTAAGATTAAGATTCCTTAATCAACTTCACGCGCAGAACAAGTACTACGGCAAGGACTACCTAATAATGTGAAATAAATGAAAAATTGAAACGATATTAGAAATCGCGTGGTGAAGTCGTTAACTAAGTATAACGAACTATGAGTGTTAAGTTATTGATGTTTTGATTCGATTTTTTCTAAATATTTTTAAAATAAAGAGACTTATTTTTCTTTATTTTTATATAAAATCTACATTTGATAAAACTCATTGCAGTCATTCATTTTACCTAAAAATTGTAGAATCCAAATATTGCATTGTTAATTTCCATTGTTAAATGGTGAATTGTGAACGAAATACGGAGTACCAAATTTAAATGTGTTTTACAGAAAGGAATTATTTTTACAAAGGATAATAAAATGATATTTTCTTTGCATTGGCGGAGTAATGGCGGCTCGTTGACTCGCTGCAGTCCTACTAAAATTGCAGCTTAATATGTAATTTTTTTATATAAAATATTCAAACTAATTAAGAACACTCGGGTAAAAATAGGTTGTTGTCTCAAACAATTAGATTCCAGTATTTTATTACATTACGTGGATATTGAATACAAGTAGCTATTGTCGGGCAACCCGAGAAAATTAGCAGTGATACTGTTTAAAACTGTAAATCCAGTATATTTGGATTTGGAAATAAATCATTCGTTTCCATGTCTTATGTATCAGTGACAATTATGTTGACTGCAACCCAAATCTATTTGATTACCTCTAACTCCATAATATCTAGTACTTAATATAGTTATACGCTTTTCAGTTGAAAATGAAAGAATTATTTGTACTGGTAGTTGTAAACAATTGTATAAATATTTCCGTTGGATTCCTTTGCGAACTCTTTGTCAATTATTATTTATGATACTATGGTATGATCCCAAACTGTTTAGAGAAGAAAGGGAGGCTGTGGTGTGCGCACGTAAACTTGTCCTATTTCTTTCCAATACATTAGCTCTATATATTAGCTCTCTGTCTATCATCTCCTACGTGCGCTTATCATAGACTTCTTTTATCTAAAAAGTATGCAGTATTTCCCGCGCAAACCAGCAGTCAGATCTTTAGATTGCCTGGCCTCGTGATTTGTCACGTATTTTTAAATAACATACAGTTTTCTAAATTTGCTGAAGTACTACTAAACTACAAAAATAAATAAACGGGCAAATTATATTCTCAAATTATAACTCCGAATTAAACATGCAATGTGAAAAGTTAATGCCGTGAACCCTACTAAGTATAAATTAAACGTCATTGTTTGCTAACTACATAATTGATTAAACTTATTATTTTAATAAGGTAAGGTATTAAACTAGACAGAGACTTGAATACTTTTTTTTACTAATTTTAATAATTCTTGTAAATGAGTAGATATTTAATAATAAAGCAATACATATTATTATACGCAAAAAATGTATTTGCATGCTTTTGCATAAACTTCCTGCACTTATAATTGATGAACAGTATTTTGGACGATGCCCAATTAATTGATAAATAATAGTATGTTGATGTAAAAAGAGTATCATTACATTACTTCAAATTCTTTTAACTTTCTTTATGTAGTATATCCTGTTTCCAAAATCTCAAGAAATTAGGGTTATGGTAATTCAATTCAATCTGGGTGCTTAGGGTAAAAACTCAATAAACAACAAATGAAGAAATATGTTATTTTTTAAAATTTATATAACATTTATTGCTGTAAAAGTTAGAGATGACGTTATATGATGGGGAGGATGATTACAAATGTTGGTCAGCGTTTTATTAACCGGAAACGAGAGACCTATGTTTTCGTATTATAGGAGTCATGAAACGTTGAGAAGCCATAAAAGTAGCCAGTCGCCCGATGAACTTGATTACAATACTTCCTTAGCTTGCGCTCGAGACATAAAAAAAATAAACAATAACATTTGGATTTAATAGCTTTTGACATCTGGTATACCTAAACAGTGAGTGAATTTTATGCGGCTATTATTACCATTACATATAACCATCCACTTAAATTAATTGGTAAAAAATTTACCCATAAATAAGTTATTGTAAAGTTATTTTTATTTACACGCGTATAATTGCACAACAATAATTGTTAGACAAATAGAATGATAAAGAAAGGCAATGTCATATTAAAAAACAAATTACTCGTTTCGATGTAAGGTACCTTATATAAGTTAACAAGATACATCTATTTAGTTATTATAGGTAGGTAAAATTCTAATACGGAATTTATTCTTGAAGTAAGTCGTAAATTGTAAATAGCTATAAATTCGGAAATAATTCTTTTTAAAAGATACAAGTCAAAAATGTATTAGGCATGATTGTCAAGAAACATTCCAATTCTGTTTCAAATTTGCAAGCATTTTATGTCAAAAGCTGATTTTTGTAAACGTTCCAGAATAAATTTCGAAGCAAAATCCACCTAAACAGATTTTGCTTCGACATTTTAATTTTCATATTACTTTTACAAAATTTTAATTTAAAAAATTAAAAATGTGTCTATTATTTGTGATTATTGATGTAGAAATATCGTTTCTACAAATAAGAATACTACAAAAAATTGTGAACTCTTTTACTGGTATGCAGCGTTATAAATCTTGTTCACTAAAACTTTAGAGAAAATAAGTTCAATCATTCCCTAGAAAAAAATTAAAGAAAAATGTTACTGTTTAGTAAAAAATTAAATTATTTGTTTATCGAACAACAAATCTGTTTGAAATTTAAATTTGTAAAATTTCGAATCTAATAATTTGAAAATATTTGTAACATCTATAACAGAAAAAGAGTTGCACAAATTACAGTAGCTTTTTTTTAATTTCAGATTCATCAAAATTGTTAAGTCTCTTTTTTATTTATTTCACATTATTCTTATTGTTCTGCGCGTGAAGTTGAATACGATTTCTTTCCCAACCCCAAACTTAACGCTGAAAAGCAAAACAGCAAGGAAGTACGTAAAAACGGATAACGGTACTGTATCGATTTCTGCTTGGACATGGGGCAAATCAGCACTGAATCTAAACTATGTTTCGCTTCGCCCAAGTGCGACATGCGGCAAATCTGCACCAAACAGTAGAGGCGAAAATCCCTCGGACGCGATTTGGATATGCGGCAAACCAGTTCTAAGGTGACGAATGTTAAAATTTATAGTTATCACATATCTTAAGTTCTGTATTTTACTTGAACTTAAGAGCACTTATCGTGCTTGGATTTACAAGTACGTGCTTCGAAATAATATCAACATAACAGTATAATTTCGTGATACATTTACTACTAGGCATGCACATCTTTCTAGAGATTTCGCGGTCGAGGTTGTTCTGGAGTGCCCATCGCGGGTTCCGGCGAACAGTTTCCAGGCCATTCTTTACTCGAACGCCGCCGTCACCGCTGATGAGTCATCAGTGATGGCGACAATGTATTTACTAGAAAATCCATAGACGTCGCACCGGGGTGGACAATGGGTTACTTCGTAAGAATAAATTATTTGTAACATATTATAAATTCATTGTAATCAGGTTTTTTCGGCGTTTCACAGCTTCAGAAAAAGAAAATGTCAAGTCTTCTGTTGCGGTCTGCCTAGTCTGTCCAACCACGTCTTTCAAGAGATTTTATTGAATAGGGTTAAATATTTGTAACAAAAATATATTACAATCGTGGGGCAATCGTTCTTTTAAGTTTTAAGGAACCAGCTGTCGTTTCGTTCGGTGAATAAACTTGATGTTACTCCACTCCCTGATTTAGCACCCCTGGGATGAGGGAATCAGTAGAGAATGTTTCGAAGAGTGGTAATCTTAATAAAGTTGGACTACAATGCCCATCGAAAGGACAGTACTATTTTTATATTGTCTATTTTGTATTTACTGTTTGTAATTCCATTGTACGAGTAAGGATTTTCTATGAAATGTATTATTTCACCACAGGCACGACCACTTGAGATAGATTTATTGCTCTTTTTTGAGTCAAATTAAGGCAACAGGGTTTTTGTTGACTAGTCAATAGGGGAAAAGATACCGCTTGAGTTATTTTGACAAAAATGTCATCTATTTATAAAATTACACATCTTTAAAACTGTTTACACTTTTAAACTCCAGTATTTTCTTGGATCCAATCTCTGAAAAACGCCGTCCTGGTGTAACCAGAAGGAGCACCGCTTTCACATCCTTCGGTACTAACAAAACTGACTACAGCTACATGAACCGGATTTGAATCTGCATCAATCACTACTGGACCGCCACTGTCACCCTAAGACAATCAATAAGTACGTTAAAAAACAACCTTTAAAATTAAAAATATATACACTTACACTGCAGGTGCTTCTAACTTGAGATGAGGGAGAATTAGCACAAACCATTTCAGGTAAAATCGAGCCATAATAATCTTCACATTCTGTAGTCGAAATGGTGACTAGTTCAACGTAATTCAACGAGTCGCTGATCGTAGTTCCATCTATGGAAATGGAAAAAATTGTGTTGACAAAAAAATAAAGTATGTTTAATGTACTAACCATCGCTGGTTAGACCCCAACCGCTCACCGCAATATCAACGTCATCACCAAGTGCTTCAGTGGACAAAATGACGGCAGCCGTGTTTCCTACATAAGTATTTTATATAACAACTGGTAAACGCGGGGATCTTATAAATCTTACCACCAAGATTTAAAGGTGTGCTGACCTGAACAAGTCCAATATCATTAGCAAGGAAATATTCGTCATAGTCTTCATGAAGGATAAGTTGGGAGGAATTTGAAACGTCTCCTCCATATACATCCGTGGATCCACTTATGATTGTCGCCGAGTCAGCCCTGGAAAATGAAATAAATTCAATGATTTTGCATAAATTACACAATCTATTACCCGCTAACGCAATGCCCAGCAGTTAGGATCCATTCTTCGCTAATTATGCTGCCTCCACAGAACCAGCTGCCGTCGGAACCATCGAAAAATAAGGCAACTTGCCATGGAAATTGACCTTCTGCGGCTTGGTCGCCATTAATAATTCTGGCACCTGTATAAAATAATTATAAAAATATGGATGTGCAATACAAATTAGGAAATACTGACCTGGAAGTTTAAAAGGGAAGACCTTAGAGTGGACTGGTAAAGAGGGCAAAGCCCAGATTGCGGATGCACATAAGCAAAGAACGGCAAAGCGGAACATTTTGCTTACTGAATTTTACTAAGTGCATACTGGTGTTTTTATAGTTGCATTTTGAGTGCCGTTTGCTAATCGAGAATAGTTGTGTTTCTTATCGCACTACTTATCTACTGGAGATGTAATTAGTTGTCTGACTGATTCATTATACTATAAATAATTTATATGAAATAAAGAAGTCATGTTGCTACGGTAAAATCTGGCACAAAGATCCATGTGATAAAACTTAAATTTGATTGTTACATAAGTCTGAAACGGATATATTTTCATGTGTAACAACATCTTTTTAGCATGCACATTCTAAAGGTTGAGAAAATTCCGTATCTCTTCTCTATTTGATACACTTTAATTCATGATCTTGCGAATTACTTAAGTTTAATTATTAGTTACACTTACTCAACTAGTACAGGCCATACAAGTGTCCTATGAACATTTGACAGTTTTTAGACTAAAATAAATTTGCAAAATTATTTAGACGTCTATTTTTATTTTATTGTATTTGTTCCAAAATTTTTAATCAAAATAATTTTTAGTTATTAAACCACAAATTAACTATTTATTACAGAAGTGGTAATGGAAATTAAAGTAGAATCCCAAGGCTATTTTCGCCACAAACATCATCTCTGGGTTTTCAATCTAACAAAAATTAACATGGGATCGAAAAATTAACATAGGAATCCATATGGCCACTTTTAAAAAGATGCACTGTATAGTTTAAGAAAAGTAATAGGTAAGTAAATACATTTTTTAAAAGCTAATATTATTTTTTAAAAGCTAATATTATTTTTAAAATTAAACTTATTTCTTCAACTTCAATATCTTTTTCAAGCTTCTAGTGTTAGATACTTTAAAATAATATCTAAATCTCAAGCTAGTCAAAGAAGCAAGTCATCTCCGTTTCGATCGATATAATCTATAAATAACAGAAACCATGATAACATTTTGTTCAAATTTATTTAAATAATCTAAAACAAAGCAGTTAGGTACTTAGACAAGAAGCAGTTTTTTTGTGTTATTGAGAGAGATAAAGTGCGATCAGCAGAGTAGATATCTCAAAAGTGCTATTCATTTATAAAACTTAATTACTAGCATCCTCGATTAAAAAATGATAATGTTGCAACAAAACATTCTACTCAAGTTTATTTATTTTTAGTGACATCGTCATCTTTTTCCTTCGCTGGGAAGGGATATTCTGACAGGCTTCATTTGACAAATGTTTTTCGGGTGGTTTGTAGTTAGTGGAATAAGATAATGCAGATTTCCATTTAATTTTGTATTTGGTGCAGGCATAACAACAAAAATTTTACAATTTATCACAGATACTAAGTACGTTACGGACCTCTTAGAGAGAAGGCGTACATAGAAATGTAAAATTTCAGTTTTCAAACTCCTGTTTGCTGCTGAATCCACTCCCTATAATACGCAGTTCTCGTGTACCCAGATGGAGCACTCGTGCAACCATTATCACCAACAAAACTTACAATGGCAACATGAAGTGGATCTGTATCAGCATTGATAACAACCGGACCACCACTGTCTCCCTACAATTTTCAAGAATGCATCCACAACAACACAAAAAAATTAACCAATTTACATTGCAAGTACTCTTAAGTGCATCAGTTCCCGACGTTGCACAAACCATCCCATCAAATATCTCCCCTTCTCCATAACTTTCTTCACATAGACTCCCCGGAATAGTAAATAAGTCCACGTAGTTCAAAGTTGGACTGATAGCACCAACTACAACAAAATTATTGAAAAGTGGAACATTTGTCTGTGTTGAAATGGTCTTACTGTCACTGGTTTTTCCCCAACCGCTTACTCTAACTTCAACACCATCCTCCAGAATTTCGCCGGAAAGACTAACAGCTTTTGTATTTTCTGTACGAATAAAAAAAATCTGTATGAATAATTGAATAATATGTCTGGTAAAAGTGCGTTAATGACTTACCATCAAATACCAGTGGTTCGTCAAGCTTAAAAAGACCAATATCATTTTCAAGGGTGGTTGGATCGTAACCTGAGTGAAGAACAGGCTCTGTGGAAATCGTTTCCGTACTATTGTCATTTAGTGATATTAGTCCCGTTTTAATCCGAGCGCTCAGTGCTCTGAAAGTTTAAATTTTTCTTCTGACTGTTATAAGAACTTTAATAATTTAAAAAATACTTGTCCACGCAATGTCCAGCTGTTAAAATCCATTCACTACTAATTACACTGCCTCCACAGAACCAAAGACTGCTGTCTTTTCCTGTAACATATACTGCTGCTTGCCATGGAAACTGACCCAAAGTTGCCGGTATTCCATTAATAATTCGTGGTTCTAAAACATTCGATCACACGTTTTTAACACTAAGAAGACGTTTATAAAGTACCAATAGTAAAATTAAAGACATACCTGTACTATTTAAGAAAGTCTTTTTAATGTGGTTCTGGGGTGCAGCCCAAACTCTGAAAACAAACAAGGAGAAAATAATAAAACGAAACATTGTTAACCCGTTTCTGATAAAGTTTGTTTTCGACTTATTATTGTGAAGACCTGATAATGAAATTGTGAAGTTTTCGTATCAATACGTGATCAATATAAATGTTGCCATGACATAAATAATGCTTTGTAGATAAATTATGATCATCACGACATATTCTATTTATTTCGAATTCTGTTCCTCTTATGTAAACTATTCTAAATTGAACTATAAGTAGAAATGTGTACTGGTATGTGCCCTCTCTATAGCGGCTTCTAACGTCAAGTCGACTATTTGGGAAAAGTGACGATTTTTAACATGTTTTGTAATTCTGAAATACTGAAACTTGGATAAACACAGCTGTGTCTGTTATAAAATGATTTGTGCTTGCAATAAAATTCAAGTAGAAACTTATTATATTATCATCAACGTGAAGGTACGAGATATGATTTTATATTCAGAAAAATCTAAACTTGTGTTCTGTGTACTGTGTCTGTATTGTCAGTTTAGAATATAGCTATCTTCTACCAAATCGATAAGGAAGATACATTTATCTAAAATGTTTTAATTATTTTAAAAAGTACAATATTTATTGTTATTTTGAACTGTTTACCTTAAGATAATTACTAGAATGATAAATTTTGACACACGCATGTTTTACCAGTTGCAGTTGTAAAATAAGATAGGTAATTTTAAAATATGGTAAAGGGAATGCTAAACCTGCTTTGAATTATACCTTGGAACAATCGCATGCATAAATTTTGACGTTAATGTAAAATTTAAAACATGCTATTTCTCAAGCAATAAATTAAGAAAGTAAAATTAAATACCGACCTTCCTAAAATTATCTTAGTTTTCCCTCAAGTAGTGCGTGTAGCACAGTGACAAGATTATTATGTCGTGTTTTATCACAGTTGATAAAGATTCGCAATGACACATTTTGCTATTTTGTTGTGTTCCCTCATTCTCCTTGTAAATTCTGTCCATGTGACAGAAAAATATAAACCAACAACTTTTCATGAAACTGGTAAGTTAACAACTTTCGTACATGTCTTAAATACACCAAAACTTTCAGACGGCAGAATTATCAACGGTGAAAATGCAACTTTAGGTCAATTTCCATGGCAAACAGGTATATACCTCGCCTATAACGACACATATTACTGGTTTTGTGGTGGCAGTATAATCAGCGAAGAGTGGATACTTACTGCCGCACATTGCTTAGACGGGTAATTATTATTTAAAAAAAAATGCCTTTATTTTATAAATAGGTACAACATTTTTAAGGGCAGAAACGGCTTATGCATACATGGCCACAGTAGACCTTTTTTGGGTTGCTGCAGTTACAGTATCAAGTGAATTTATTCTTCATGAAAAGTACAACGCAAGCACTCTTGCCAACGACATCGGACTTATTAAACTTGATGGAAAAATTCGTTTCGATGGCACAAAAACCCATTTGTTCTTTCAAAACACGTTCTTTATTTTGTTTTGTTTTAGATGATGTCGCACCAATTGCCCTTTCTTCTGAACCACTAGAAGCCGGAGACGTAGTCACTGTTAGTGGTTTTGGTATAACTTCTGATGGTAACGACAGACAAAGAAAATGTTTCCTAATGTTGTAAGATGATTGTCGTAGCTGATGAAGAAATTCTAAGCCAGTTTCTAAATTATATTACCGTAACCACTATTACAAACAGCGAATGTGCCGCAGTTTATGGAGATGCTGTCCTTGAGAGTATGGTATGTACTTCAGCAGGAAGCGATCCTGTTAAAGGTGCCTGCATCGTGAGTTTAACTCACAGTTTTATGAAGTCATCTTTTCCGTCTTGATATTGTTACAGGGCGACACTGGGGGTCCTGCAGTTTTGAATGCCGATACTAATCCGGTACATGTTGGTATTGCTAGTTTTATTGGTGGTACAGGGTGTGAACAAGGCAATCCTTCTGGATTTACAAGAACCGCTTATTACAGGAACTGGATTAAGGAGAAAACCGGGATTTAAATTCGTTCTTAAAGGACGGGCAATTTTTTTATTAAACATTTTAATATAAATTGAGAAATTATTGAAAAGTTCGAGTCTGGTAAGCTGATTGTAAACAAAATCATGTACGCTCTGCTGTTTATTAAATAAATGTACCTATAACATTTTTAAGAACATCGTTTTGTAACAAAAGAATTTCTCAAGTGGAATTTCTGTCTCGTCAGGAAATGGTGATCCTGTAGTTGTCTTAAGTTCCTATTTTACTTACGTAAAATGTAGCAAGAAGTCGTTTCATTGTCAAAATTCTGTAAAAGAAAAAATCTTCAAGCCAGAAATAAAATAGTCTTATCTGAAGTTTAATAAAAAAAACAGGTACATATATCGATAACGTAAAAAAAGTCAAAATTATGAGTAAACTTTATTAACCATAAAATTATGTACCTACGTAACAAAAGGTTCAATTAACCGTCGGTTATAATATTATTAATGCTTTGTTATATTAACAGAAATAACTATCAAAATTAGAAATCAGATTTCTCGTTAATGAAATCTCTGTAATAAGATGTTCTTGTAAATCCAGAGGAATTTCCTTGTTCGCACATTTTGCCTGCAAGGAAACTAACAATACCAACATGCATTGGGTCCGTATCGCCATCCAAAATGGCAGAACCTCCACTGTCGCCCAATAAATGCATGATCAAGAATCTGTTTCAGTCTAACATCATTTCTTGGATTTTTACCAGGAACAAACGGTGCTCCGTTGAATAAAAAGATATATCGTAATTTCTTTCATAAAAAGCGGAATTATTTAAAAATTATAGGAATTTTCTGCAGGTTTTTATTGGAGAACTTTAACAAGTACTGCATCAACCCTAAGAACATAACCGAACTTACAATGCAAGCACTTTTAAAAGGATCACTTTCTACTGTAGGACATATCATCCCTTCAACAATGACATTTCCATACTGCCGCACATTCGATATTTGTAATAGTGGTCACTATGATATATTTTAATGACATTATCACCCAAATCTTAAAACTCAAAGTTCTTTAGCTTAATGTACGGTGTGAAACTTACCATCAGAAGTTACACCAAATCCACTAACTGTAACCTCTTCCCCACCCTCTAAAGATTCTAAAACGAGAGCAACTGGTGCGAGAACTTCCTTCATGTGTTGTACAAATTCAGTTGATATCATTCCTTCAGGAGCTGCATACAAATTTACAGTTCATACATAAACGTAAACTATATCTATGCTTTAAAGTATTGAAAGTTTTAGAATGGAGTTAAACAAAATTTGCTTAATATCCCAACAGTCTTGTTTAACAATTAAGCATATTGCAACCCATCAAGGAAATTGTCGTAAAGTAGCATTATCGTCGTTAATAATTCTGAAGATTATACCGGGTGTCCCACGTAACATTTTCGGGCGCAATAACTCAGGTATTTTTAAAGGGATTTTTATGAAATTTAAAACAGGTGTAATATAATAGGTGAAGATTAGGCTGATAACAAAAATAGCTATTTATGTAACAAGTACATAAACCAGGTCTTTATTGACAAGCCGATTTTAGTAGACGAGGGAGCGTAGCGAGCGAGTCGATAAAAAAGGCGCGTCAATAAAGCCGGTTTATCTACGCGTTACATACAAGGCTTTATGTCTGATTGCAACAATTACTATAATTTAAAAAAATAAAAATTAAGGAAAACCAGTTGCAAAAAAAAATTCTGAAAATCTAGTCTACTTTTTCATTGTTACTACAGTAACCCATTGCCTGTTTACACAAGTAAAAAATTGGTCTAAAGAGTTTAGACAGTACTTCCCTCGCTGTCGGAAACTTGACGACTGCATAGCTATTGTGTTTTTTTCTCATTACATTTTTGTAGTGGGAATTTAAAATTGCGATGACGTCATCAACATTTTTGCAAGGACACGGATATCAGTTGGGATAGATGTAGTGTAATACTAAGAATAAAATTATTGTATTCCCAAATTTTCGGGAAAATGAATTGGGTCGTTTTGAATATTGATTTTTTATAATCAATAAAATAACGAAACAATTTACTCACGTATACGGCAACTGAAAATCGTTTATGTATAAACATTCTTAATTTAAAATGACAAGCGTAACGGCATACGTGAGAGCCAAACAGAGAAACTAAACAAAACGACCATCTGTTTTATTGCTTCGACTTCCGCTTATTATATAAAACATTGGGTTTTATTTTAATTCTTGACGGTGAAATTCAGAATTGGTTGATTATAAACATGTCTATTTCACATTCGCGGAACCAAGTGAACAAATGCAGGTCTGTAATGTTAAAGTCGATGTAAATAAGCGTGCTACCCTTATGTTTCAACCGAGTTTTTCCTTTAACAAATTTTGTGTCTACCAAATTGGGTTGGTTGGGGTGTAATACTAATAATAAGTGTTGCCTTTAATTTAATCAATAAAATAAATTGACTTCATTAATTTTTTTTGAACCACCTCTTAAGAAAATCTAAAAAATATGAATGGAATGATAAATCACAAGTACAAACTCATCATATTTTTTGCATTTTAGATAGGATTTATTCAGCAAAATTTAAGGGTGACGTCATCAATTTTTTTAGGAGGGATGAACAAATACATTTTGAACAAAAGTTTACCATGCTTATAATAACTTTAAAATATTCCCAAGATTTCAAAGCATTCGGTTTTCTAATTCCTGATTAAATCGATAAAATAAATTCACGCCTTCATTAATTTTTTTGAGTCACCCTGCATATGCAAATCCAAAAATATGATTGGAATGATAAATCACAAGTACAGACTCATCATATTTTGTACATTTTAGATACGATTTATTCGGCAAACTTTTGAGCTGACGTCATCAGTTTTTTGTAGAAGATAACCAAATATATTTTGACTAAAAATTTATTATGCTCTTTATAACCTTAAAACATCTGCAAGATTTCAAAGCATTCGGTTTTGTAGTTCCTGATTAAATCAATAAAATAAATTTACGCATTCATTAATTTTTTTGAGTCACCCTGTATATGCAAATCCAAAAAATTTGAATGGAGTGATAGATCACAAGTACAGACTCGTCATATTTTGTACATTTTAGATAGGATTTATTCAGCAAAATTTTGTGGTGACGTCATAAATTTTTTAGGGGGGACGACCAAATACATTTTGATCAAAAATTTACCATGCTTATGATAATTTTAAAATATTTTCAAGATTTCGAAGCATTCGGTTTTGTAGTTCCTGAGTAAATCAATAAAATAAATTTACGCATTCATTAATTTTTTTGAGTCACCCTGTATATGCAAATCCAAAAAATTTGAATGGAATGATAAATCACAAGAAGAGACTCACCATATTTTGTACATTTTAGATAGGATTTATTCGGCAAATTTTCGAGCTGACGTCATCAAGTTTTTGGAGGGGATAAGCAAATATATTTTGACTAAACATTTATTATGCTCTTTATAACCTTAAAACATCTGCAAGATGTCAGAGCATTCCGTTTTGTAGTTCCTGATTAAATCAATAAAATATATTTACGCATTCATTAATTTTTTTGAGTCACTCTGTATATGCAAATCCAAAAAATATGAATGGAGTGATAAATGACAAGTACAGTCTCATCATATTTTGTACATTTTAGATATGATTTATTCGGCAAACTTTCGAGCTGACGTCATCAAGTTTTTGGAGGGGATAAGCAAATATTTTTTGACTAAAGATTTATGATGCTCTTTATAGCCTTAAAACATCTGCAACATTTCAAAGCATTCTGGTTAGCAGATTAAAAATTAAATTTCAAAATGTTGTTTTATAATTTTGATTTTTTTTTCAAAAATCTGGACGTTTCGGGTGAAAAGTCGATTCAGAGTTGTAAACTACATGTGTAGGACTATGTTATTTTATACAATTGAAAACCCATTTACTATGTACAATTTTGAAGTGACGTCATCGCATTAGTGGTGGGGATGATTAGACAAATTTTGGTTAGCGTTTTACCATCTACATGATATTCTTAATACAAGTACAAAATTTCACAACAATCGGTCGAGTACTTTCGGAGATTATCTGTCTAATAAAAATCCGGGACAACAGACGGACAGACGGACAGACGGACGGACAGACGGACAGACGGACAGACGGACGGACAGACGGACAGACGGACAGACGGACGGACAGACGGACAGACGGACAGACGGACAGACAGACGGAAATGGGAGACCTATTTCTTCGTCTTCTAGGGGTCATGAAAGATCGAGAAAACGTAAAAGTAGAGAGTCGGCCGACGGACTCGATTACAATACTTCCTTTGCTCGGGAAGTAAAATTATTTTGATTTTTGCTGTTTGCGTTTAAAGTTGAAAAATGCAAGCTAGTACATCGAACCAAGCAGAAAGTGAGATAACAGAGATTGCTAGGAGTGTTAAAGAGTCTTTACTACCATCAAAATCAAGACATTTATACGAAGAAACTTACAACCTTTATCGGAAGTGGTGCTCTAAAAAGAACGTCAAATCAACGTCGGAAGAGAGTATTTTGGCGTATTTCACTACAGATCTTTCCTCGTATGAAAAAACATGGGCGCTGGCCTTCAACTGTAGCGGAGGGGTATATTGATGAAACTGCTGAAATTAACGTTGCGGAAAAAATTCTAAGCAAAAATCTTTCGGAAAAAGATGTTGCTGAAGATATGTTCAGTTGTGGAAAAGCAGAAGCAGTAATAGAAGCAAAAGCAGTAATAGAAATAAATTCAGTGAAATGCGACAAGAAAATATCCAATATACGTTTTCTGGTAGTAGTTATGTTATAAATATTAAACATTGTGATCATGCCTAGATTATTTTAGTTAGTAAGTTTGATTGTATTCACGAAAACTTTAATAAAGCTAGTGTAAAATAAAGTTGTTTTTATTGTACTAGTACCATAAAGTACTACATTACGGCCGCTAAATTATAAAGTAAAGTAACGTTTATAGAGCAATCGGACATAAAACTATTTTATCGTAAAAAAAAAACAAATTTTAACACAGCTTCCTGAAAAAAAATATAAATTCAACAAAAAACTTATTAAGTTAAAGATGCTGAAAAACTCTACAAGATGAGATAACCGGCTCCTTTATGGAGAACCCAAATTTTCTAAACTGACTATGTTTCCAAGAAATGTAAAATATTTTCAGTATAACTCGTCCTTACATTTTTTTAAATACAGTAGAATGGATCAATTAGTGCATTTATTCCGTTTAATTTGTCCTTCAGTAATCATAACACTGAATAAAATAATTCAATTTGAGTTGTTCAGTGATTTCTCAATGAGAATTGAGGAATAATTTCTAAATTCACTTTGATATTTCGATTTTCCGTGGCTAATCCAAAGACGTGAGATGGACCGTTTCGAGCGCTAATTTCAGAATAAGAGCAACGATTTGGGAAAAAAACTGACCGATAGCCCTCCTTTACCTCCACAAATGCATCACTCAATAATTGCTTTAAAGTGATCGGGGGAGATATTAACATTATAAAATAAAAACCAATTCCCTATGTGCAAACTTGGATGCGGCACCCTGTATCTGTAATCCTGAAATATTTTTCTTCAATTTCAAATATTTTTCATGTGACTTTCGTATACTAGTAAAATATTGTTATCGAAAGCTCGATCAACGTCAGTGGATAGAAAATGTCAATACTATAAGTAAACTTTATTTTCTGAAGACGTTATCTCGTATGTTACATATAAACAAGATTCACAAAATTAAACACCACTTTTCTCTTTAATCCAATTTCTGTAATAAGCTATTCTTGTAAATCCTGAGGGATTTCGTTGTTCGCATCCTGTGTCTCCACCGAAACTAACAATACCAACCTGTTGTGGATCACCATCGGCGGCATTCAAAACGGCAGGACCTCCACTGTCGCCCTAAAAGAATTGCATATGTAGATAGTCTTATTGTTATCCCTTTTAAATAGTATGCATTTGAAACACTATTCAGCAGCTAAAATTTACTATAAATTTTACTGGATTTTTGCGCTACAGCGCTCGTCATGATCAGTTGCCACCTAAATTTTTCCCGTACAGTTTTTGATAGAAAATTTCTGTATTAATTTGTTGTATTCGACTTGATTTTGTATAGCAATATTTAAGAGAATGCGCTACACAAAATGAATGGTGATTTTGTTATATTGTATGTTTGAAATTTTTTTGGAAGTTTCTTTACAGAACGTTAACAAGTACTGAAACTAAACCCACTCCAAAACAATATCTACACTTACAGTGCAAATATTTTTAACAGAATCACCGCCTGCGGAAGTATACACCATCCCTTCAACAATAAAATCGCTATTTGTAATAGTTGTCACTGTGATATACTTTAATATGTCATTGTGATCCACATCTGCAAGACCCAAGAAGAAAAAATGTTTTGTATAAATCATTGTGAGAAAATTACCATCCGAAGTGCCACCAACTCCACTCACTGTAACCTCTTCTCCACCCTCTAGTGGTCCAGAAGGAAGAGCAACCGGTGCCATAGTATCTATCTATCTCAGTTCTGGTCTGAGCCTTATAAGACCAATAACATTTGCAGCGGGGGGCGTGTTGAATTCCTCGTGTACGATGAATTCAGTTGATATCATTCCTTCAGCAGCTGAATCCATATTTACAGTTTCTACGTAAACGTAACTTATGTCTACTCTTTGAAGTTTTTAATTTTTAGAATACAATTAAATCTTGCGCAAATATGTAAATAGTTAACCCTCTAGGCAATGTCCAGCGGTTAAAATCCAGTCTTTGCTAATTATGCTGCCACCACAATATCCAACCATGTCGTTGACAATTAAACGTAAACCAACCTGCCAAGTAAATTGTTCTAAAGTGGCATTTTGTCCATTAATAATTCTGTCCTCTGAAATTTATACATGGAGTTGGTACTCAGTATTCGTTATAAATTTTTGAATAAATCTCTGACATAGCGATAACAATTTCCTCTTTTCGAAAGCCTAAGCCTAAAATAATTTCATTGCTCTGATAATATTTCTGAAGAAGATATGAATTCAATAAAGCACCTATTAAGATAAAAGTGCTGAAAAGATGTAAAAGGATGGAATGATTAATTTCCTGTCTTGGTTATAGAGAGTAGGAATTTGTCTGGTGACGATTCCAACCAATGCCCTTCATTATTAGTTTAATATTGAGATTACACAAGTGTCTGGCAATTGGGTCCTTTCTGGGAGCTGTTTAAATTTTCTATGTTCAGAGTTTTTTCAGCAATGATGAAATGAAGAATATGAACAGTTAAAAAAGCTCAAAAATTTGTCGTAATTTTTCTACTTTTAATGAAGTTTTTCCTCGTTTCAATTATTAAATTTTGGGCCGCCGAGTTTAAATGTTGTACGAGCAACCATCTTTAAGTTCAGTCAAATATATACTATACGAAGTTTTGGACACAATTAAATACAGTTGAGTTCTGACAACTTCCATTATCTGTAATTAAATTTGTATGTAGCAGCCTTAAAAATGTCTGCTTTTTGTAGTACAAAATTTCCTGAAGTTAGTTTTCCTTTCTCTCGAGAAATAGCGCTGCTATTGGTGTTTTAAATTCTTGCAAATTACATTCACGAGAAATTTACAATTAAGTTGTTTAATCGTTTTTATAGAGGAATTAGTCGATTTTACGGTCACTTTCTTTGCGACTCTGTTGTTTCGTTTATGAAAAATCAGCATTTTAAAATATCTATTGCTTTGGTTGGGGTCAACTTTGCATATGCTTAGGTGTAAGATATTTCTGGTTAATTTTGATATTATGTTGTCTATTTTAACCTCATTTATTGGCAATGGCTATTTTAACAATTAATTGTAATTATTTTTGTGATTACAAAAAAGCTGTGTATTACTCTTTATCAGCTGTTTTAAAGCTGTGATAGCGCCAGGTAGTAGTAAAATATTGCCATCTGAAGTTTGAACAAAAATAAAAACAACAGTAAAAATTGTTACAACTGTAAAATAGCCTCGTATGTTTTGAAGTCAGTTTATAAAGGGCGAAAGTATTTGAAACTGATTTTTTTTAATAAAATAACGGACAATAAAGAAAGAAGAATTATAAGTATTACGTTATAGTTTAATAAGACATTTTCCGCACGCCTTCATTTGGAGCACTTCCCGTTTCATTCATTGTGTCCCAAACAACTCGTCTTGTTAAACTAATAAAATAATATACAGCGTGATTAAGATAAATACTGTTTCAGTTAATATGAACAAATTTTGCTTGATATTGGGAAAACTCTCGCCCCACCTTCCGTTCTATTGTCAAAATTGGCACTGATGACAGTGACATTTAAGTGTAATAAAAAATTGTTATTGACTACTATTAAAATACTATAACTTAACCTTCTTAACCTTAATTATTGTTATATATTTTTATTAACAAAAACAGCTAACTAAATTATACACCAGTTTTCTCTTTTATCCAATCTCTATAATAAGCTGTTCTTGTAAACCCAAAAGGATATCCTTTTTCGCACCCCGAGTCTCCAAAGAAGCTAGAAATACCAACTTGTAATGGATCCGTATCGGCATTAAGGACGGCAGGACCTCCACTATCACCCTAAAACAGTTGCATATAACATTATTATTATTATTCGTATTAAAACAACGCTGTAGAATCTACTATATATGTGTACTGGAGCTTTGCGCTACTATAACAATTTTTTGGCAGGTATGAACCATATTTCTTTGATGCAAAAAAAAATCGTAATAATCTGTCACTTCCGATGAATTTGTGTAACAACATTCCACAAATACAGTTCTGTAGTGATGAAAACTGATTTAGGTGATTTACTGCACAATATACGAAAACTCGACGAAAACGTTAGGGAATCGATGGCAATTTTCATAGGGTTCTATTGGTCAGTTCTCCACCCACTCCAATAATAATAGCTACACTTACAAAACAAGTACTTTTAAACGGATCACTTCCTGCTGAAGTACACACCATCCCTTCAAGGATGGCATCTACATAAATTACCGCACATTCACTGTTTGTCATAGTTGTCGCTGTGATATATTTTAAAATGTCACTATCATCCGCATCTGTAAGACCCGTATTTTTGACAAAATGTTTAGTATACATTGTTAAAAATTACCATCGGAAGTTGCACCAAATCCACTAACTGTAACCTCTTCCCCACCCTCCAATGGTTCAGAAGGGAGAGCAATTGGGGCGATAGTATCTAAAATGTCATACGTGCAAATATGTAGTTCTACAAACTAAAAATAAATATTACCGACCACTGAAACTCAGTGCGGTGCTGAGCTTTATGAGACCAATATCGTTTGCTAGAGTGATTAAGCTGAATTCCTCGTGTACAATAAATTCCCTTGATACAATTCTTTCAGGTGGTGGATTCAAATTGACAGTTCCTACATAAATGAATGCTACGTCGACGCTTTAAAGTGTTAAATTTTTAAAACGGAAGTAAATTTTGTTTGAATATTTACTGTTGTAGGCATTGCGCAGCGGTCAGAATCCAATCTTTACTAATTATGCTACCACCACAAGTCCAAACCGTTTCGCTAATCATTAAGAATAAAGCAGCATGCCAGGGAAATTGTCCTAAAGTAGCATTTTCTCCATTAATAATTCTACTATCTGAAAATTATGTATGTATTTAGTAATCTCGGTAAAATAACAATTTTACTAAGAGTATTTCTAAAAAATGACTGACTTACTTTGTACTTGTAAGACATCTGACTTGACTTCATTTTCTAGAGGCAAACTATACCCCAAGGTTATGTAGAAACACATAAAAAGAAAAACACGCATCATTTTTGATTAGATACTAAATTAATAGATGTTTTGTACGTTGTTTTATATCACTTCAGTTAGTAACATATCAACAACGTTTCCATTTATCGCACCAAAACTGGGTGATAACGGTTTCCTCTTATCAAAAGCCTAAGGATGAAACAAACTACTGTTCTGAGAATATAATTCATGAATCACATGACCCCATTTCTTCCAATAGAATTTGTTCATGCCCTTAGTTACATGTCTATCACAGCGATAATAATTTTATTGCCTTATTGTGGTCTGTTGCTACCTAAATTTAAAAACTGTCAAATTGACAAATGTTAAAATTTCGTAAATTTTTTTGTCTTTTATGGCTTGCCAACGTTGGGGGCAAGCTCAAAACGACAAAATCAATTCTGTTATCAAAAAATGTGTTCATTTATTATATTCTCATGTTAAATATAACTCGTGATATGATTAATAATCGAAGATATGGCTCGTGAAACCGAAGCAGCACATTCAACTCGTGCTTCGCACTCGTTGAATCTGCAGCTCGGTTTCACTCGAAATATTATCGATAATAATCATATCACTTGTTATATTATAACTGATAATATCTCCGAAAAAATGCGATCTCAACCAAGCCCTCGTTAAAATAAAAGTGTTAAATAATTGTTATATTTCAATGCCACAAGCGACACAAAGGAACACCGATAACAGCAGCAAAACAATAACGATTTCATTTCAAACTGTCAAAACTCAGTTGGGCATATACATAGAAATATAATTAAAAAATGAAAGAAAGAAAAAAAGGGAGAAAGAAAGAAAGGAAGAAAGAAAGGAAGAAAGAAACGAAGAAAGAAAGGAAGAAAGAAAGAAAGAAAGTATTATTTATACAAAATTTGCCGTACAAAATAGATTTACATAATTATACAAAGAGTGGACTGTGAAATATGTCGGCTAAGACTGAAGATTATTATAATTATATGTTGACCGTTGGCGAATGAACATATTGATTATTATGTGCTATGGCGTGTGTGATGATCCGGAAATGTCTTAAATTTGATATAAATATTTGACTCAGTAGATCATTCTCATGAAAAAATGCATATAAAAATATATACAAAAATATCATTGAAACATAGTGTGATTCTACCTAAACCACAGCCTAAACTACATATTATATAAAATCTTCACAAGTGATCCTAATTTTGGAGCTAGAATGATTTCCACTGCTGCCAAGGAATATAAACTCTTTCACAATATCCTGACTAAATCCGTTGTCATTAATTCTACTAAGAATCCTTGCAGTGCTTTTTCGTAAAATTTATAACTCCCCACAATTACGTAGGATTACATTGATATTATTTTCAACACGAGTAAGACATATTGCAAATTCTATTTTCCTGGACTATGTTTTATACTGATCGAATCGGTGTTTCTTATAAAACAAAAAAAAAACAAATAAAAAGGCAGCAATATTACCACTCCTTTGCAACGCTGTATCTCGCGAATCAATCAACTGCATTTAAAAATTCAAACACTTAGAAAGAGAATTAATAGGACTTCCAAACAAGATGCCTTTTGACCCATGGTGCCATTTAAGATTTTTGACTTGATAACCGCCCCTCGTTTCTGGGTGAAGGTACAAGAACAAAAATACTGTTACGAAATAAACCCATACGCCGCCGCGGTACGACGCCTTTGGGTTTTCTAGTGTGTATGGCGATGATGGGTGAGTCATCGTCGGTGACGGAGGCCGGACGGCGTTCGCTAAAGAAGAGCCTGGCAGCGGAAGTCGCGAATGGGTGCTCTAGGCAAATCTAGAAGCGGTGACGGAAACGTTTCGAGAAGGACCGCGTGGCTGTTTAAATGGGAGCCAGCGTCGGGAGCAGTCAGTGCAGTCCACACAATAGGAGAATTAGAGTTTAGTCAAATCCATTCCAGTCGGAATTATTTTGTACTAAGAAATAAATTGTTGAGTTTTACCCACGCCACTATTAAATTACCGATCACGGTAACAATAGCAACGTTTTATACGTCCACATACAATCAAAAATCGACCTGTTCGAGCCTTTTTCACATAGTCAAGTGCAGCGCCTATATCTGTTTCGTTTTAGTTGGGCCAGCCTGTATAATTTAGCGTATAATATCACAAGCTCAGCTGAGATTCTGAGAGAAAGAAAGAGAAAAGTAATAATCTAATTAGTTTCTTGGGGCATCATATACATAATTGTGGCAAGTAGCTTCTCTAAAATAATTACAAGTTGTTGGGTAAGAACTGGTTGAATTCAAGTCACTTTGCAACTTTTGCTACATGCTCGGATTTGTGTTCCTGTTTGACGTCAAAATTTTCGATGTTTGTTGAACTTAATCAGAGCCGTCAGAACTAGAAAACAAAATAACTGATGAATCCAGATATGCTTGTCTCAATATTAGACGAATTTGTATGAAGAAAAACTAAAAAATTGTGTGTGCCATCAAAGCAGAAATAAAATACTGGCATCTGAAATTTGACAATAATAAAATCGTCGGTAAGATAAAAAATGTCGAAATATTTAAAAGCAAACTTCACTACACAAGGAAATTATATTATTCGTTACTAAGTGTTCACATAAAGATTTGATTACATTATTTTCATTAACAAAAATAACCAACTGAATTAGACACCAGTTTTCTCTTGAATCCAATCTCTATAAGGAGCTATTCTTGTAAATCCAGAGGGATTTCCTTCTTCGCACCCTGTGCCCCCAATGAAACTAGCAATAGCAACTTGTAGCGGATCAGTATCGACATTCAAAACCGCTGGACTTCCACTGTCGCCCTGCAACAAATGCATGCAGCATTAATATTACGGCACTTAAAGCATCGACTGTTACAAGGATAAAAAAGCCAAAACTGATTTCAAATCTAATATCCTATCCATCAAATAGCAATCAATTAACTTATCTTCTGCCTTTAACGTATCATCTTCTAATACAAACATCTACAACAAATTCAACATATATTACCAAAATGTCAGAGGTAGTAACACGAAATCCGCAGATATTTTACTCAATTCAGCATCAATGGATCTATATGATATCTTTATTCTAACAGAAACATGGTTGAGTTCTAACTCTTTTAGTGGTGAGTACTTTGATATAAATTTATTTAATGTGTTCAGGAAGGACCGGGATTTCGCTGCTGTAAATAAACAGAGAGGTGGTGGTGTATTAATTGCTAGCAAAAAACAAATGCAGGTTACTATTATTGAACCACAACCTGGTTGCGGAAGTTTTGTAGGTCTGGAACATATTGATATACTAATGGTAAAAATAAATTTGTGGCACAAATACTTATTCATCATTGTGGTATATATTGCACCTTCCTGTAGCGTTCAAGACTATATTTCGCTATTCGAAAACTTAATGTCTATTAACACTCTATATGACTCTCAACTATTAATTGTTGGTGACTTTAATATACCAGAATATCATAATTGTTTTTCTTCTAATATTATACATACCAACATCTACTGTGCTTGTGATAATTTCTGTAAATTTTTCGGTTTACATCAAAAAAATTTTGTCTTTAATTCTTATGAACGTCTCTTGGATCTTGCTTTCAGTAACTTTGACTGTCAAGTAAGTCGTGCAACGGAAATCTTAACTGCCGAAGATAAACTTCATCCTGCTTTAGAAATTAATTCAAGTATGACGAGAAAACGATTAGCTTATATTCCTCCCAAAAACGCTGGCGAGTTCAACTTTAAAAAAGCAGATTTTCCTTCCCTATATCGTAGCATATGCGAAACTGATTTTTCTTTTTTAAATTTTGCAAATGATGTTAATGTTGCAGTAGATTTGTTATACAATAAAGTTAATGATATTTTTAACAATTTTGTTCCAATGAAGAAGCAGCCTACTAGAAACTATCCTCCATGGTTCAATAAAGAAATCATTGTAAACCTCAAACAAAAACAGAAAGCTTGGATAAATCATAAAAATTCACAAACACCTGACTCACTCCAAATTTTTAAAGAGCAACGTACCAAAGTGAAGAATTTAATTAGATCAGCTCACAAACTATATCTAAAACGTATTACAGATGAAATAAGAGACAATCCAAAACAATTTTGGTCATATTTAAAAAACAAAAACAAACAGTCTGGTATACCGAATATAATGAATTATAAGAACACCGAAATTAACACTCCTCAGGAGATAGTTAATGCTTTCGCCGACTTATTTGGCAAATCGTATACACATTGTACTAGTGGTAATTCTATATGTAGCTCTGTAACAGACTTAGACGACCTATATAAAAACACCTTATACCTAAAAAAGTTTGACAAAAGTGAAATCCACGCAGCATGTATGCAACTCAAACCCACGCTAACAGCTGGACCTGATGGTGTTCCCTCTTTTTTCATTCGAGACTGTGCTTCTATTTTATGTGATCCCTTGTTAAAAATATTTAATTTGATTTTAAAAAGATCTGTTTTTCCTGAAAAATGGAAACTTTCTCGAATTACACCTGTCCACAAGAAAGATAGTTCTAGTGATGTTACTAATTATCGTCCAATAACAATCATTAATAATTTCGCAAAAATATTTGAAATAGCATTACATTCTCGGATGTATAGGCACGTGTTTACTCATTTGTCATCTGCCCAACATGGGTTTGTTAAAGGACGATCGACAACCACTAATCTCCTCTTGAAGACCCAATTCATTGCTGACTGTCTTGATGAACGTGGTCAGGTAGATTGTATATACACGGATTATTCCAAGGCGTTTGACTGCATAAACCATACAATCTTGTTACACAAATTACACTCATTTGGTTGCTCTATTGACCTCGTCAATTTATTTTCATCTTACCTGTGTGGAAGGTATCAATATGTGTACTGTCATGGTTTCAAATCTGTTAACTTCCTTCAATCCTCTGGTGTACCGCAGGGCTCTGTGTTGGGACCTCTACTGTTTAACATATATATAAATGACGTGGTGACACAATTTGATGTTAAGCATTTGATATATGCCGATGATCTTAAATTGTTTTGCAGTATTACAACAATAAATGATTGCATCCGTCTGCAAGATAATATCAATAGGTTGTTTAACTGGTCAAACCGTAATGAATTACTGGTTAATAAAAAAAAGTGTTTTGTGAAATCTTTCTATAGAAAGCTAAACCCTATAGCCTATGACTATAACATTGATGGATTTGTACTACAACGGCCTGAGCATATTTGTGATCTTGGGGTCACCTTTGACACAAAGTTAAGATTTGACAAACACATTGAAGTTATCACATCCAAAGCTTATAAATCTCTTGGGCTTGTTATCCGAAATTCCAGTTTTATAAAAGAAAAAGACATTTTGCAACTTCTTTTCTACACCTATGTCCGATCACGTTTGGAATATTCATCACTTGTGTGGTATCCTATCTATCAAGTCGACATATCATCTTTGGAAAAGATTCAACGTAGATTCCTGAAATTTCTATGTTTCACTAATGATGGTGCCTATCCTCCACAAGGGTTCCCAAATGATTTACTATTACGACGTTTCCATATTCAAAGTTTATCTTGCCGCAGATATGTGACTTCTATTATTATGTTATACAATCTAATACACGGACGAGTAAAGTGTGATGATCTATTACTGCTTCTAAATTTTAGAGCACCTACAATAAATTTAAGATGTAATTCTGTATTTCAAATTCCAATACCAAGAACAAATGTTATGAGATCATCGCCTCTGTATCAAATGCTTAACAACTACACAATTATAGAGACCGACGTTGATATCTTTTGCTGCTCTGTTAAAAACATTAGAAGATTTTTTGCATTGTAGTGTTTGTATCTATGCATGTTATTTTCCTGTTTTAAATATATTGTCTTTCATTAATTGGGCCTCAGCCTGTCGAAGGACTATTACTAATAATAATAATAATAATAAAATTTACAATGAAATTTTACGACGGTGTTGCTTTGATAAAAGTTTCTGTATTAACTGATTTTAGTTGAGAATTTTAACAGGTACTAAACCCATTCCAAAAAACTGTACTTACCAAACAGGCACCTTTAACAGGATCACTACCCGCCGAAGTACACACCATGTTTTCAAGAATGGAATCTCCGTAAATTTCAGCACACTCGCTATTGGGAATTGTTGTGACCGTGACGTAATTTAAAAACTGACTCGTTTCGGCATCATCAGCTGGGAAAAATCATACTTTTCAAAAAAAATTCTTTTAGTATTCCTACTGCGTGAAAATTACCATCTGAAGTTAAACCAAATCCACTAACTGTAACTTCTGCTCCATCTTCTATTGGTTCGGAAGAGAGAGTAATTGGTGCGATAATGTCTAAAATAACAAATGTGTTATTATACTTTCATGAATGAAGAAACATTTTTTACCATTGAAACCCAGTCCAATACTGAGCTTTATAACGCCAATATCGTTTGCAAGGGTGCTGGCATTGTATTCTTCGTGAAGAATAAGATCAGTTGAAATCATCATTTCAGGAACTAAAAGCAAGTCTACGGTTCCTACGTAAACATAAGCTATTTCTGATCTTAAAAGCGTTAAATTTTTAAAATGTAACTGAACGTTTGCTTAAACAGTTACCTATCTAGACAATGTGCAGCGGTGAGAATCCAATTTTCGCTAATTATGCTGCCACCACAAAACCAAACCGTATCATCAAAACCTAAGTATAAACCCACCTGCCAAGGAAACTGTCCCAAAGTCGCATTTTCGCCATTAATAATTCTGACATCTGAAGGTCCTGTATTTTCTAGAGGCAACGTATGCCCCAACACTACGTAGAAGCAGAATAAAATAACAATATGGAACATTATTGCTTACTAAATTATTATACATTTTGTACAAAGCTTTATATCACTGTAATTAAAAAAATATTAACAATCTTTCCTTTGTTAGCCTAAAATTTAGTGATAACAAAAAAATTTAAAAGTGGAAGCCTAAAATAATTTCAGTGCTCTGATAATCTTTTTCAAGAAGGTACTATAAACAAAACACTTACTGAGACAAGGTGCTAAAAACTGCCGATTCAAATGTAAACAAAGGGATATAAGATAATATATATGTAGTAAAATTCCATATTTCTGTACACACACTCCAAAATTAAAGGCATTGAGGAAATAATTCATGGAAGAGTATTTTACCCATAAAACATTTTTTTTAAAGTACTTTATTAATAACTTTTCAAAACAGAAGATGTGGTAATTACAATTTTTATTAAAATTACATTTGTAATATAAATCGTGTTTAGATAGTTGTATTTTAAGTTTTATACACCACTATTCTCTTCAATCCAATCTCTGTAATAATCAACTCTTGTATATCCGGCAGGATTTCCGCTTTCACATCCCGTACCACTAATGAAACTATTAACAGCTACAAGAACTGGATCGGAATCAGCATTTATTACCCCAGGTCCACCACTATCGCCCTTTAAAAATATAATGTTTTTTTTATACAAACATTTTATAAAATTAAAATATTGTCCAAACTTACAATGCAAGGACCTTTAACTGGGTCATCTCCAGTTGCAGCACAAACCATTCCCTCAAGTATAGCGTCTCCGTAAGTCTCACTGCATTCGCTGTTTTCAATAGTAGTCAGAGTAACAAAATTTAAAAATTGACCAATTTGAAAATCGTCTAAAATCATTCATAAGAACAAAATTACTTATAAATAATGCTGTTTTACCATCAGAAGTTTGTCCAAAACCAGTCACTGTTATGTCTGCTCCAGCATTAAGGGGATCAGAAGCCAAAGCAATTGGTGCGACAGCATCTAAAGATACGTTTTAGTCAATTGTGTCCTTCATTTAACGCAATACTTGTGCAATATTTATACCGTCAAATTCCAATGGTGTTCTAAGCTGCACGAGACCAATGTCGTTGGCAAGAGTAGTCGCATCAAAGTCTTCGTGTAAAATACGTACATCCGCTAGCACTAGTACAGCAGGTGCTTCAAGATCGATAAGTCCAGCATAGACGTAAGTCACCATTCCTCTAAAAGAAATAATATTTTTGGTAGATTTAATTTTTTAAATTCAGACTTTTACCCATTTATGCACTGAGCGGATGTCAATATCCATTCTTCACTGATAATACTGCCACTACACCATAGTGCAGAGTAGTTGTTAGCTGTAAGTACACCTACATGCCAAGGAAACTGTCCTAGGGTTGCATTTTCTCCATTTAGAATACGCCCATCTGAAAAGTGGCTTTTTTCAAGAATTTTATAACATATAATTTAATAACTTGGTTTGTCAAGTTAGTAAAGAACTACAATCATTTATAGTGACTTGTGTTTAATCTGAAGTTAAAAATTATACAAATAGAACAAAAAAACTCCGTGTTACAAGACAAAACTTACTTATTTTATGGAAGGGTATTTTTTCGGACAAATCACTTTGAAGTGATGAAGTGTCGACCAGCAGAATGTAAAAACATAGATAAAATATATATTTCAACATTTTGGAAGATTACTAAATTTAGGATTGGATCGCATGTGTATTTATTAGCCTGTCAGTGTAATTTTTTCATTTAAAACAATATAATCTACCATTTGTAATACTTATTGTTGCAGATATTTTTTTTTCTATTTTATGTTTAGCTAAAGCCTATATGGGTAAACAACAAAAGCTGTTGCCAACAGGGGTACCTATTGTAAAACGTATGATACTTTTATCTATAACCTTGCTCGTTGAGTATAAGGTAGCAACATTTTTCAGACAAATTTAGACCGTTTCCAAGTGTACGATTGCATGATTTTGCGCATTTGTAACGCATTGTTTCAAGTCTCGCTCCCGCAAATTATTCTCCCGTATATTTATGATATTTTAGTAAAACAAAAACCATTCTAGGAACTGTAAACTCCTGGCATTGAAATTTTAGCAAACGCAAATCTTACTGTTTGACGCAGATTTTAATAAAACACTTAGAAACTGGGTACGTTCGAATTTACTTTTGCAATTTGTGTGATTGTTGCATCATTTTGGGATTTAAAATTTTTAATCGTGTCATACTTTTTAAAGCTGTAATCTAAATTCGGTTTATCGTAAAATATGTATAAATCACGTAAATTTTGAAATATTTTAATAAAACTAAAGTCATTATGCAGATGTGGAGTTTTGTAAGTAAATTATCACAACGTAGTTTAAATGATTGACTTCAAAAATATTATGGTGCCTTTTCATATAATTGCTAAACGAGTTGAATGATATAGAACTTAAACATTAATCAGTGTACGAGAAAATTAACAGTGGTGGATCAGATTTAAAAATTCGCTATTTCGCTGGATCTTCTATTAGTCAAATAAAAGATAAAAGAGATTTAAACAAACTTCGAAACCCAATTGCGACCTTCATTTCCAACTCTTTTATGAAAACGTCCGTGGCTTGCGAAGTAAAGTTAATATTCTTTCCAACAATGTTTCCTCTTTCTCTTTTCCTTTTATAACTCTATCTAAAAGTTCTGTTCTAAAGCAACATCTCGCACAATGAATTATTTCCTAACAATTACACCGTTCCTCGAAATTATGTGTCTGCTGGTGCTCTTAAATGTAACGGAGTACTTCTTTTAGACAAAGCAAACAATCATGGAAACAATGTTTTGGTGATTGGAGACTTTAATATCTGACAATTTATACGAGTAAATAATTCCGTTAAACATTAGTTTATTACATACCGAGGCGGAAAATATTCAATTCCTGTTGAGAGAACTACAAAGCCCTCACACAAAGGCCTGGGGAAGTAGCTCACCTCGAGGTGAGCTACTTCCCCAGACAGAAAAATGGTACTTTTGCCGAGGTTTGTATACTATTTTATTCACAATCATTTAAGAAAACAAGCAACATTATAATAATAAAGAAAACTTACCTCGGTAGTATTATGGTTTATTTAGGTAAAATATTAATACCGGGTAGGCGCTGCAGGATTGACATTTTATTAAATTAGCTCTAGATACTTTAACTTGACATTTATAGTTTAAATCGACCGTGGCGCCCTCACAGGTCGCAAATGGTTTCATTTCTGACCGCTACGTTCATTACTGATCTTTTTCAGGCTTCTTCGACCCATTGAAAAGTGTATAGTGTATTTGTGAATCGCTCACCTTCTGATTGTGAATAAAAGTTTAATTTTATTTAGCGAACAATTTTCACTCGACCATGAATTTCTTCAACACAGTTCTGTGACCAAGACCTAGTAAGTATTTGCAAGTTTTAAATGTGTTTTAATTGGATCTCCGTGCCTGTTGGGAGACGTAATTAAATAAAAAAATAAATAAATAAATAAATAAAACATTTTAACATTTTGAAACATCGGTTCTTAAATATATTCTTCGAAAATGTGTGTATTACTGTTCATGAAGTCATCAATTATATTCGTATCAAAATTAAGTTCCACTATTCTTATAATTTCCTTTTGTTATTTTATTTAAAAAAACAGTTTCCCATTTTTCACCCTGCAACTTAAAGATAGCATTTTTTTAAGTAGAAGCCTAAAATAAGTTCAGTTTTCTGACAACACTTTTGAAAAGGATATAAAATCAACAAAAACTTCTAAGATAAGTGCCAAAAAATCTAAATTCAACCATAAACAAAGAGAATTAAGATAAATGTACCCGAAAATATTCCCAGTTTTTTTAAAGATGAAAGAGATAGCGTATCAGAAACGAACAAGATATATTGTATGTGGTCATATTAAGTTTCTGAAAATTAAATACTTTGACTAATGACAATCCTATACAAAAAGATGTCAAGAATTTGCAAATAACCTTATTAATAACTTTTACCAAGAGAAGCAAATGTGGTAACTTGTGTATTTGTTTATTCTCGTAAGTGTTGTTAGAATATCTTTTCTTGAAGAGGGATTGTGTTTCTTAACAGTATCTTGTCGCTTTGAGCAGAAATTATTATTTTCGAATTAATTTTCGCATTTTTCTCTTGTTAACTTGAAATGAAGATCGTGAATAATAGTAGATTTTTTACATATTCTTCAGAGTCAACAACAGTTTTCTATTTGGACACAAATGTATTATTATTTATTGGGTTGAGTTTTTACCCGAGACATCCAGATTTTTGGGAAAGAAATCGAAACATATAAACGTTTCCCAATTTAACATTAAATCTACAAAACTGAATGATTTGAAATTTTGCAGACGTTTTAAAGTAATCGTAAGCATAGTAAATTTTTAATCAAAATATATCTAATTATGCCCCCAAAAAAATGAAGACGTCATCGTCATTTAGAAATTTAGCCGAATTTTATTAATATTTTCTAGAATTGCTTTTACAAAGTGACTCAAAAAATTAATGAATGGGTCAATTTATTTTACTGATTAAATCAGGAACGCCTCACTCCATTTTCCCCGAAAATTTGGGAATACAATACTGTCGAAATAATCTTCGACCAATTTTTTAACAATAGATACAATAATCTTTAGATATTAAGAAAATTGTTCCGAAAATGTGTGGAAGCAAACGAGAAAATTAACAATCAGCATGCAGCATCAAAAAACTTGCAAATAACTTTATTGGTAACTGTTCCTAACAAAAGAGAGGTACCTAATTATTATCACATTTGAATACATTTTATTTAGACGGTTATATTAGTAAATCTTATACACCGCTGTTTTCTTGAATCCAGTCTCTGAAATGATCAACTCTTGTATATCCAGAAGGATATCCGCTTTCACATCCCGTATCACTACTAAAAATCGTTATAGCTACAAGAAACGGATCAGAATCGAGATTTATTACTCCAGGTGCACCACTATCTCCCTTTAAACATAAAACACATTTTTCGTCATTTTAACAAAAAACTGTTTGCACTTACCGGGCAAGGACTTTTAAAAGGATCAGTTCCGGCTGAGGCACACACCATTTCTTCAAGTATAACAACGTCTTCGTAAATGTCACTGCATTCTGTATTTTCAATAGTAGTGACGGTAATGAAGTGTAAAAACTCAATACTCTCAATATCATCTAAAATCAACCAGTATAAATAAATATTCATAAACGTATACAAGTAGATCTTGTCGCATTACCGTCAGAAGTTTGCCCAAACCCACTGACTGTTATGTTCACTCCAGCGTCGAGGGGATCAGAGGCCAAAGCAATTGGTGCTATGATGTCTAAAAACATTTATTAGTGACTTTTGTATTTCTAGTATAGTCATGTTGGTAATCTACCGCTAAATGCCAATCCTGTTCTAAGCTGCACAAGAGCAATGTCGTTGGCAAGAGTAGAGGCATCGTAGTCTTCATGTACAACAAATTCGTCAGCTAGCACCAATGCGGCTACGTCATCTAGGTCTACACCTCCTACGTAAACGTCAGCAACGATGGCTCTAGAGTATTTAACTTTTAATAAACCTAATTTTTCCTTTTAATTTATTACCCATCAACACAATGTGCGGCCGTTAGTACCCAATCCTCGCTAATCAAACTGCCACTGCACCACGTTGCAGAGTCGTTGGTAGTACTAAGTATGGCTACCTGCCAAGGAAACTGTCCTAATGTTGCATTTTCCCCATTAAGAATTCTGTCATCTGAAATATTATTATTGTCAGGAATTTTGTAATCATTTTGTGGAGAACACTGGAATTTCATAATTTAACAGATCAAATGTTGCTACCAAAAAAGTACTTTTGGCAGAAGAACAACAATCGTGATATAACAGTTTATTTTTTATTGACTTTTGTTGAATTCTAAATTCAAAATTATGGCGACAGAAAATTCAATAAAGTTTACAACATAAAACTTACTTGCTTCATGGAAGACTATTTTTGGTGATACAGCGTTTTGAAGGGATGAAGTATCAGCCAGCAAAACCCAAAAGCAGAGATAAAATGTATATCGCAACATTTTGAAAGTTAACTATATTTTAGATATGATGGTATCATTATTTATAGGCCTGTTACTGCTTTTTTTTGTAATTTAAAACAATATAATCTACATTTTTATATTACTTATTTATACAGATAATTATTATACCTATATTCTATTTCTGGGTGAAGCTAGTTTGGATAAATAAACATAAGTTGTCGTCAACAGAAGGTACTTAATGTAACAAGTATGATACCTTTATCTGTAATTTTTTTCAGTTTAAAAACATGTGATTCACTTAACACTTGCAAAAATTTTGGCTTTGATTAATGCGAGTCATTTTGAATATTAAATTATTATTATATATTTTCTACACTGATTTATATCATTTCATTTATTAAAATAAATATTAATCATTTTCTATCCTTTCCCTTTTCGAATGTGGAAGGTTCAAATAATTTCCTTGTTCTGCTAATAATTTTGAAGATTACTTATATAAAATCAACAAAACACTTGCTAAGATAAATGTGCTAAAAAAGTTTCAAACAAAGAGAATTACGATAAAGTGCTAGAAAATTCGATATTGTATGGTATATCTACACACAAAAAAATCGAAAGTCACTTAAAGCCCTCTCGGTACACATGACATTAGAGACAGAACATGCGCACCAAAATAGGTACATATGTATATTTCTAACTATTTAAAAATTGGACGCATTAAATCGATGACTGGGGTCTGTTGCACAATACTTACAAGTCTAACAATATTAGTCTTGTAAATTGCAATTTGTGTATATATTAGTAGATTTGTAAGTAACTGTGCAACAGGCCCCAGGTGTTATGATATAATATTATATGGAAGAATACTTTTGGGAATAAAACGTTTTGAATGGGTGAAACACATCCTCACTTATAAGCCTATATATGACAATTGTCTCCAATTGTTGTAAAATGTACGATTCCATTTTTATTTCAGTTTAAAAAATGTCTGATTCAAAATTTTTTGCTTGAAGTGATACGAGTCATCGGTTATTAGATTATTATATATTTTTAAGACTGCACTGAGTTATACCATTTCAATTAGTATGTAAATATTATTTTCTGCTTTCCCTCTTTCCAATTATAAAAACTTAAAACAATTTCTACACAAAAAAAAATTCAAAAGTCATACTGTCATGATACACGACATCCGAGCCCATTAAGGCGAGTTAATGTTATCACAATTTTGTTGATTTAGTTTTAATGATATCTCAAATGTCCCTACTTCTATTGTCTTTGACATTTAATATGCGATTACTGTTACAATTGATTTTAGCATTTCTTACAAACTTTTGATGCCTCATCTTTTTGGTATGATATAACCGTTCAACATAAACATCACTTGTATTGATAGATGGGGGGTATAAGCCTCGCAGTTGATCGACAATTGACTAATCTCGTCAATGATCTATGAACATGTGTTACGCTTGTTTCTTAGACATTAACTAAGGAAAAACTGCAGTTCACTAAAAATAAACTGAAACTGACAAAATCGTGGTCTAAAACTGACGACATGTATCGTTCAATTTGTTGTATTGGCCGTACAAACTATTTTTAAGCAATTTTCTAACCTGAACATCTTATGAGAAAAACATTATTTGAATCCAAGATGTCTGCATCTATCATCCAACACACAGTCGACCATAATGACCAGAGCCGTAACTTAATGATATAGGAAAGAGTACTGACATGAGTCAATATCTTAACCAAAATATAATAACTACAACAAAAACTTCAAAATAACCTTTTTTAATAATAATTTTCTCGAACAGATATCCTTTCTAATATACCTTAAGTCTTATATAATAAGTATTATACACCACTGTTTTCTTTAATCCAGTCTCTATAATAATCAACTCTTGTATATCCAGCAGGATGTCCCATTTCACATCCCGTATCACTAATAAATATTGTAAGAGCTACAAGAACTGGATCAGATTCAGGATTTATTACTGCTGGTGCACCACTATCTCCCTTGAAATGTAAATTATTTCCTTCATAATTCAAATAACAAACCGGTTATACTTACAGGACAAGGACCTTTAAATGGGTCGGTACCTGCCGAAGTACACACCATTTCGTCAAGTATAGCATCCCTGTAAATTTGACTACATTCGCTATTTTCAATAGTAGTTAGGGCAGCAAAACGTAAAAATTGAACACTTAGAAAATCATCTAAAATTACTCAGTAACAAAATTAATTATGTCCATACACATAACTCCTTCATTTTACCGTCAGAACTTTGGCCCCAACCACTCACTGTTATATCCACTCCAGCCTCAAGAGGATTAGAAGCCAAAGCAACTGGTGCTATAATATCTAAAAGAACATAATAGTTACCTTGGGGTACAAAGTCCGAGTAAAATAATATGTTTAGTACTTTACCGCTGAATACTAGTCCTATTCTAAGCTGAACAAGAGCAATGTCGTTAGCAAGAGTGGTGGCATTGTAGTCTTCATGTACAATAAATACATCTGCAAACACCATTTCAGCAAGTAGACTAGTATCTACAGCTCCAACATAGACGTAAGTAATCACTGCTCTGAAAGTAGTATTACTTTTGACAAATTTAATTCCTTGTATTTAAAATTTTACCTATCTACGCAATGTGCGACTGTCAGTACCCAATCTTCGCTAATAATAGCACCGCCACACCACGTTGCAGAATCTGTTTGAGTCGTAAGTAGACCTACATTCCAAGGAAACTGTCCTAAAGTTGCATTCTCTCCATTCAGAATCCGGCCATCTGAAAAGTAATTTTTTCAAGAATTTTGTGTTCAGTGTCAACTTTTACAAAACGACTACAAACGCTTTAACATTTATTTTCATTTACACTATAAGAAATGTTTTTAGTCAAAAAAATCAATGTGAAGTGGTTACATATTTCGAATAAATTCTTTCAATCTGAATTTTAAAATTCGCAGTCAGGCCAAATAAACAAAATTCGGTATTACAACCGAAACTTACTTGCTTCATGGAAGGCTATGTTTTGGGACACACCACTTTGAAGGGGTGAAGACTCCACCAGCAAAGCATAAAAAGAGAAGTAAAACATATATTGCAACATTTTGAGCTATTACTAAATTTTTGACATTATCGCGTCCTTATTTACGTTACAAGCTTGTTACTTTTTAAAATTTAAAACAATATAATCTACCTTTTTAGGTTAGTCATTGTTATAGATAATTTTCTCTACATTCTATATTTAGATCAATTGGATGAATAGGAGAAGTTGTTGTCAAAGTGGGTACTTCTCTACGATAACATTTTGTTTGAGTTTAACGAACAGTACTCTTAATTCTAATTTAGAACTACTCCAAGTTACGATTTTATTATTTTACTTGTTTTCATATGTTTGAAGTGACTTAAAAAAATGCATATCTAGACATAAACTGATTTCATTCTCATGTTTTTCGTTATTTTCCATTGCAACTATTTAATTCACTAGGCATTTGCTTTCTTTTTTTAGATATGCTTTATTATTACTAGAAGAGATTCAAATTTATTGGTTAACTAGCTGACCCGGTGAACTTCGTTTCACCTACAATTTAATTTTGAATCTGCAAAACCGAATGCTTTGAAAACTTGCAGATGTTTTAAACATATGATAGGCATAATAAATTTTTATTCAAAATATATTTACTTATCCCCTCCAAAAAATTGATGAAGTCAGCCCAAAATTTTGCCAAATGAATCCTATCTAAAATGTCCAAAATAGGATGAGACTATACTTGTGATTTAGCATTCCATTCATGTTTTTACTTCCCGAGCGTAAGCAAAGGAAGTATTGTAATCGAGACCGTCGGCCGACTCTCTACTTTTACGTTTTCTCGATCTTTCATGACCCCTAGAAGACGAAGAAATAGGTCTCCCATTTCCGTCTGTCTGTCGGTCTGTCCGTCCGTCTGTCCGTCTGTCTGCCGTCCCGGATTTTTATTAGACAGATAATCTCCGAAAGTACTGGACCGATTGTTGTGAAATTTTGTAGTTATATTAGGAATATCATGTAGATGGTAGTAAAACGCTAACCAAAATTTGTCTAATCATCACCACCACTAATGTGATGACGTCACTTCAAAATTGTACATAGTAAATGGGTTTTAAATTGTATAAAATAATATAGTCCTAAACATGTAGTTTACGACTCCGAATTGAGTTTTTACCCGAAACGTCCAGATTTTTGGAAAAAAAATCAAAATTATAAAACAACATTTTTGCAATTTAATTGAATCTGCTAATCCGAATGTTTTGAAATGTTGCAGATGTTTTAAGGCTATAAAGAGCATCATAAATCTTTACTCAAAATATATTTGGTTATCCCCTCCAAAAAATTGATGACGTCAGCTCTAAAGTTTGCCGAATAAATCCTATCTAAACTGTACAAAATATGATGAGTCTGTACTTGTAATTTATCACTCCATTCATATTTTTTGGATTTGCATATACAGGGTGACTCAAAAAAATTAATGAATGCGTAAATTTATTTTATTGATTTACTCAGGAACTACAAAACTGAATGCTTTGAAATCTTGAAGGTGTTTTAAAGTTATCATAAGCATGGTAAGTTTTTGATCAAAATGTATTTGCTCATCCCCCCTAAAAAATTTATAACGTCACCACAAAATTTTGCTAAATAAATCCTATCTAAAATGTATGATGAGTCTTTTCTTGTGATTTATCATTCCATTCATAGTTTTTGACAGGGTGACCCAAAAAAATTAATGAATGGATTTATTACTATTTTTAGTCAAAATATATTTGGTTATCTTCTACAAAAAACTGATGACGTCAGCTCAAAAGTTTGCCGAATAAATCCTATCTAAGATACACAAAATATGATGAGTCTGTACTTGTAATTTATCATTCCATTCATATTTTTAGAATTTGAATATACCGGGTGACTCAAAAAAAAATGAAATCTACTGCGAAAAAAAACATAATAGACATGCAGTCGTCACGTTTCCGACAGCGAGGGAAGTACTGTCTAAGCTCTTTAGGCCAATTTTTTAGTTTTGCTTATAGGGAGTGTCTCAAAAAAATTAATCATTGAGTCAATTTATTTTATTGATTGAATCAAGAATTGCAAAACTGAATTTTGAAATATTGCAGACGTTTGGAAGTTACTGTTTGACATGGTAGATTTTTAATCAAAATATATCTGTTTATCAAGCCCAAAAATTTGATGACGTCATCCCAAGATTTTGCCGAATAAATCCTATCCAAAATGTGCAAAATATCATCAGTATATTTTCGTAATTTATCATTGCATTAATATTTTTTAGATTTGCTTTTACAGTGACTCAAAAAAATGTATGGATCAGTCAATTTATTTTAGAGAATAACTCAAGAGTTGCAGAAATGAATACTTTGAGATCTTGCAGACGTTTTAAAGTTATTGTAAGCATGGTAAATTGTTAAGAATATTTATTTATTCCCCCCAAAAACTTGATCGAATGGCTCACTCGATTTTCGCAGATAATTTTGGGAATACAGTACAGTTATTTTTAGTATCACACTGCACCAATCCAAGATGGTATACGTGTTGATCGTACATGTTGATTAGGTCATCACAAAATTGTGTGAAGAAAAGACTCAACTCGAAAATGCTGAATATGTTTCATTATACTTTTGGTGGGAAGGAAGTTCTGTCGAAACAACGTTCGATCAATTTTTTGACAATGGTTGATATAAATAAAACTCAGTGGATGCTCATACTCGAAATACGAAGTATCTACTCGAATATCAAATCAAAATATTTCTAATTTTTCTAGATGATGCTAATACTTCAGTAGGTAACAGTTGATGCTCAAGTAGCATCTCGATACAACAAAGACGGAAAACAGTGCCAGTCTTCAACCATTAAAACAAAAATCGAGTCACCAAAATATAAGTTAGTATGGGGTAGACACCTTGAGATGTGAATCTCTATGGCCAGTTGTAGAAAGAACGCACTGCACAATAAATAAAAGTTAATTACCTGAAAAGTTTTCGATATTCCCGCTCCTAATGTGTTTTTCAAACTGAATGCACCTTTTGACGACGCTCCACGTTCATGAAAGTTGCCATGTTTAGTCAAAATTCACTCTTACAATGATCTTACTCATTTTCTAAGCTGCTTTACAGACAGCTCAGTTATTTGCCACGGCGATGCTCATTTTGAGATTAAATGCTCACAAAACGCGTAGATGTTCAATGTCCGGGGAGATACAATGTTCCCAAGTAGGTACTCAGTACATAGAGTAGATGCTCAGGTATATAAGAGTAATAATGCAGTAGGTACTTCGTACTTCGAATATGAGTATCTACTCAGTTTTATTCATACCACCCAATGTCTCGCTTCAATGTTTGATTATGTTGATTATGAGCACAACGCTGATCAACTTCCATATCCGAATTACCCATGAAATAAATCATTGCGGTTTGCACCTGAGGTAGTTCGTCGCACATTTGATTGACTTCGTGGACCTATGTCAGCTTGTCGTCTTCTCGGCATTGTAATGAACTTCAATAAACGACACAGAATTATTTTCACATTTTCAATCAAATCTGTAAATTTTGTCTTGAGAATTTTAAAATACTGAAAACTTCAAATCAAATCCTCGAATAACGGTAAAGTTTGAGGTTTTGTCGAAACCAACAAAGTGAACATAGGTAAATAGAATGGCAGATCAAAATTAATAAGAAACTTTCGCAATGCGTAACTGAATTCACTTTAACGAACACTTTTCTTGAAATAAACGACGTTTTTTGTTACGAAAAAACAAACAACGACTTGAAATGCAATAATACTTTTCACAATCGCACGGAAGAAATAGTTTTGTGTGACACGTCAGCAGGCGACAGATCCGTCAGGAATGGCCAACTATTCAAATTCATTTCAAGTGGCGATTCCCGTGCAAAATTTTTAAAATTTTTTTTATCTTTTAGCCGTCTCATTTTTTATAAATATTCTTACATATTGTGGTCACCTACATTTAAAATTTCAAATTTGGCGCTACAACTAGATGGCAGCAGTGAGGAGGAAGCAGTACGGGACACGACGGTATCTAAACAGAATTTTAATAAAACCGCTCGTTCGAAGATTAAAAATTAGTTTTACTAAAAAACCGACTACAATTTCAGGAGTGGGATGAACGACCTTAACATCGGAATGACCAATGTCCGATTTGTGTTTGTGAAGTGCTGATTCATGGAATAGTTACACGGATAAATGGTAGAAGAGTCAAGCACGTGGGAAATGTGAGGTTATGTCAACTCATCACGTTTTTCATAAAAGGAGAAGATGGCAAGAACCCTCCAAGAAGTGGAGTTGTGTGACGACGCTATTAAGAATGGTCCTTATGCATCGGTACGTACGCTATACGGCCTTGCCTTTGACGACGGTAGTCGGTTGAACAGAAAGAAGCTGTGTCAATGGACGGGTTTCCCTTTTGAGATCGCATCAAATGACTGCAATGAGAAAGTGGATGAGGTAGTGCAGAATTTTACGATCGCAGAACTTTGTGGAGTCGGCCTTCTACTGGGGTTGAATTGTGCAGGTACTCACCAAGAAGTGGCCGAGAGAATTTGTTCAGTGTTGACTGATTTTGATCTGTTTACACAAGAAAGAGTTGTTCAAGAACAAGAGAGTGAAGACGAGGACGACGAAGATGATCCGGTAGACAGTGATGATGGTCGAGCAGGCGCGGCAGCAGTCCCTACGTTCACCATGTCTTTCAGAGACATCGAAGATTCCGTACGCACTTTTAGTGGTGATGACAATTATGCAATCGAGACTTGGGTCGCAGACTTTGAAGACATCGCTAAACTTATGAAGTGGTCGGAACTGCAACGACTAGTTTTTGCGAAGAAATCATTAACTGGGCTTGCTAAGTTATTTATCCAAAGTCAGAGGAATTTGGGTACATGGAAGGACTTGAAACGCAGGTTATTGAGTGAATTTTCCAAGAAGGTGAGCACTTCTGAACTGCATCGCATGCTGAATAATAGAAAAATGAAAAAAGAAGAATCTCTCCAGGAATACTTGTTGAAGATGCGTGAACTCGCTTCAAAGGGTCAAATTGAAGAGGAGTCAGTAATCGAATATGTCATTCAAGGTATCAACG